AATTAATGCCGTACAGAACATGCAAAAATAATTTCATTAATACAAGGAAAATATACATGTTATTTGTGCGCATAACGATGAAACACATTGAAACACGGTAGGCACAGAAAAGGTGAACCAGAACTGTCAGCACAATATGTCGCCACTTTCTTAGTGCAATTCTTTGCTCTCATTCTTCCTAGCTGTTTTGCATTTTTTTCATAACACAATTTGCAAAATCGCCTTATATTTCGCATACTTCCCGGTTCCCTTTTAAGTTCATGACGACGTTTTTTCTGTACTTAATTGCTTGATGAAGTGCAATCTTCATCATTAGAACATTTCACTAAATACATCGCTAACTTCATCCTAAACTCGGAGATTGAAATGTAATCGCAAAAATGGTCTGCGGCGCCTTGGGGGTCATCGGTGACCCCCGCCACGAAAAATGCATAAAACAAGTTTATACAACTAAACTTATCTGCTGTAAATAATATTTCAACATAATATGCATCGCATAATGAAAAATTCATGTTGGCGCCTTGGGCAAGTCACGTAAAATTCGCGCGGCAGCCAACGTGTTAAAAAAATTTGCTCAAAGCAATGAGATTCCACATTTATTAGTTTAGTCCTATCTTTCCAATATAAGAATACTTAATAATGTATATAGTGTATGGAAAAAAGATATACCTTTTAAAATAATATAAAATCTTTATTCATGATGGAATACTTTAACTTTTACTCTACACATATTTTACATCTCAGCACATCTGCATGAACAAAATCTTAATGTAACATATGTCATTTTTGTTATAGAACCGTGATAGGTTTACGTGGGAAGGATGGAGTAGTGTTTGCTGTTGAGAAGATCATTACTTCCAAACTATTTGAGCCTGGAGCGAACAAAAGAATATTCAACATCGATCAGCATATAGGTATGGCAGCCTCTGGTTTGATATCAGATGCTGGCCAGATCGCAGAAACTGCCAGATCTGAAGCAGCACAATATAAAACTTTATTTGGGGTTGGCATTCCCTTGAAACGTTTGAATGAAAATGTATCCATGTACATACATGCATATACTCTGTACTCGGCAGTAAGGCCTTACGGCTGCTCTGTTATTCTTGGTGCCTATGAAAATGATGTACCGGCAATGTACATGATTGATCCATCTGGTGTATCTTATGGATATTATGGTTGCGCCATCGGTAAGTATAGTTCAGATGTATTCATCTTTTTATTCAAACATTTAATCTATATCCCTTCTTACTTCCGCTTGATAGGGAAAGCAAAACAGTCAGCGAAAACTGAGATCGAGAAGTTGAAGCTCTCTGAAATGAGTTGCCACGAATTAGTGAAGGAAGCAGCGCGAATTATCTACCTGGTGCATGACGAACTGAAAGATAAGCAATTCGAGCTCGAAATGAGCTGGGTGGGTAAACACACGAACGGAAGGCACGAGCGTGTACCGCAAGATATAAAAGCGGAAACAGAAGCTAAAGCGAAGCAGGCGATGGCAGAAGATTCAGATAGCGACACAGAAGACATGTAAATCGATTATAGTCTCCGATACATATTTTGTACTTGTAAGTTATCTAATTTAAGTACGTCAAAACAGTGCTATGGAAATTTTTCTGTCTGCGAATGAGCCCAATAAAAACTGCTGCCTGTTGTTTAAGAAAACGGAAAATGTGTGTGTATCTCTCCTTTTCTATTACTCCGATATAACGGATTTCATGTTACATAAAAAAAGAGAAAACATACAACATGTGAAAACAATATTTTCATAGTGACGTAACATTTTTGATCCCCAAAGAAAAATCCGTATTTGCGTCTCGATTGTTCTCGCGGTCCTTTCTATTGAACCTCGTTTATTAAACGCGCACGGACACCGGATTGTAACTTGTAATAATCCTTGTATATTGGGCCATGTACATACATATATCCCTTTGAGCCGCTGAAAGGATTTTCTTTGACCAATGGCATTTAACGACATACAGCCCGTTAAGGGATTGTCTTTCAGTCAATTTAAAGCGGTCGATGAATTCTATATATTACAGTAGATCATGAAAAAAATGTTCCATCTAAAATTGTTAAATATTCATGTAAAGCATAGTTACATTGTTTTAGCTGTTTGTGGAAGGAAGATATACGATTATTTTGAACAGAAGTGATTTTATTAAAAAAAACTTTGAAAAAGTGCA